GAACGAAGGTGACGTACATACAATGAATACAAAGGGTATTGTCATTTCAGCCCCAGGATTTTGCTTTTGCTGTAGCCAGGCTCGAGGCGAGAGTCAATTCCCGTTGTTGTTTTGTATTGCCAAGTCATTGCGATCACCTTATCGCTGACCCCCCTGGTGACCCCTGGTGATTGAGATCGCCCTCGGTAGAATGTGGTGGATGCCGAACAGACCACGGTGCAGATCCCTACCTACCTGCCTACCGTACCACTCGGCTGGTAGGCCTCCTTAATCTCCTCGTTTGACGTCGTTGTTTGCGTTCCTTTTAAAGTTCGATCTTCGCCCATCTGCCGAACGAACCTTCCCATCTGTTTCAGTCAGCAGCGGTAGTGTCGAGCAGAAACCCAACTGCAGTCCTTCTTTCCAACCAGCGACGACGACTTAACTCAACCCCGGTCATTCTTTGAAACAACTCGCCAAAACCCAACAGCCGTCTGTCTTTACAACGAATATCAAAAAACAAAAACCGACAAAATGTCTCTCCTCACGAAGGCCGCTCTCCTCCTCGCCGTCGCCGGCTCCGCCCTCGGCGCCCCCACTCTTACCAACCCCGGCGGCTTCAAAAACCACGTCGCCGCCGCCGGCACTACTCACCACATTCCCGGCCACGGCACTCACTTTGAGCTCCCCGACCATCTCAAGCAGCGCTCCATCCCCGGCGGCGGAGAGATCGAAAGCACTCGGACACCCGAACAGCAGCCCCAGTCCCAGACTATGTACACCAACCACACCTACCTCCCTGCCGAGGCCTTCAACCGCACTGCCACCGTCAGCAAGCGCAGTCTTCAGGCCTTGACGGGCGGCGATGCCAACGGAGACAAGGAAGAGCACATCCCGATGCCCCACAAGGCTTCGGTGCCCTTCGTTGACCCGGCCACCGGCATTTCCTTCCAGCGGTTCTACGACGAGACCAGCCAGTTCTCCTTTGGCCTCGCTTTGTCCAGCCTTCCCTCCGCTGGTGATGCTGCCGCCAACGACGCCACGGACTTTATCGGCCAACTCTCCTTCCCACTGAACGCCACCTCCGGCCTAGGCCGCGGCGCCGGCTGGGGCGGAATTTCCATTTCCCCCAAACTTACTGCCTCCCACTTACCTCTCTTCCTCGGTCTCCAAACCGACGGCTTCGGTAACCTCGCCTTCTCCTCTTTCACCGAGGCCGTCAAGTCTGCTGCCTCCGGCGCTGCCTCCAACGTCCCCACGACCGCTGGCCAACAAGCCGCATCGACCGGCAAGGACGTCGCCTTCAAGATCCGCACCATTCCCTCCGCCACGAGCATCACCGCCACGCACCTGACTTACACTTTCCTTTGCGAGGGTTGTCTGTCCATCAGCAAGTGCGCTGCCAACTTGGACGCGTGGAAGGCCCAGGGAAAGACCAAGGTTCTGCGCCTTGGTTGGGCGACTGGTGACGCTGTTGCTTCCGAGGAGGACGCCGAGAAGCAGACTGCTGCTGATGCGCAAAACGCAAAGAAGTGGGCTTACCACCGCCTTGGCTTCGGACACCTCAAGATCGACCTCGAGGGCGCTTTGTCGCACACGGCTGAGCAGTTCAACGGGTGGAAGGCCCTGGCGATGGCGGAGGAGGTCAGAGGGTTTGAGGGGCTTGCGCCGCCGTTTGCTATGGACATGGTGAATAGGTTCTCGAACTCGGAGGGGGCCAAGAACTTGGAGAAGGTTAAGGGTGGCGAGGGCGAGAAGAAGAAGGAGGAGGGTGAGAGGGGCGTGGAGAGTGAGAGTGAGAGTGACAGCGACAGTGATTCTGACTGTGGATGCGAGAGCGACAGCGAGAGCGATTCCGATTCGGAGAGCGAGGATGAGGAGTAGATATGAGGAGACGGACGTCGTTGGTGTAATGTTGAGGATGAGAAAAGAAGGAGGGGATGTGATACCCAGTTTCGTTGGGATTCTGTTCTGCAAGAACTTATGTTAATCATTGAATTGAACCACACAAACTTTGATGTCTCTTATGGCAGCGCCCGTGACCTTGGTCGTTTGAACATTTCGCTACCCGACGTCAACTGTGATATTGTCAATGGAAGCTACGGGCCAGGATGTTTCTTTAGTAAGTCCAAACCGCCGGACGATAAGCCCATGGTACACCACGAGAGAGACCTCGGGCTGCTGTGACACTTGGTCAATTTTCCAACTACACCCTCTGATCTGTCGCCAAACTAACAATACCCAATGCGGCAATGCTCCAAAACTCCTACGCCATGCTAATCCTCATGAAAATACCTATAACCATAGTACTCAACACCCTCTTATCCACCAATGTACAGAGCACCCATCCGCTCCTCCACCCCTCGAACACCCTCCTTAGCTCTCTCAATCTCCGCCTCGAGTTCTTCCACGTTCCGATTCAACGCGCTAACCTCCTCGAACCGCCTCTGTGCCCTCGCGCTCTTCAACATCTCCTGCACCATGAACATCTGTTCCTCAAGCACCACCAGTCGTTCCTTTGCCTCTTTCTCCTCGATGTCGAGTTCGGATTGGACGACACTGGCTTCGCTTGCGCCGGCATTACTGGATGTTTCGACGTCTTTGGAGAAGGCAGACTCCCCGTTTCGTAGGGGCGAGAGGGTGGATGTTGACCCGTTAAGTAAGCGCCGGTGTTGGTGTTGCATGCTGTTACTGCGCAACACTCGAGGCACCGATTTTAGAGGAATCAAGTTGGCGTGCAGGAAGGCCGACGCGGCAGCATACACAGACTGCTGCAACCTCAACTGCGTCGGGCTATCCGTCTTCATGTCTCTTAGCCTCCTCGCGGCAAGGTCGTATTTCGCAAAAGCATCCGTCAGGCGTTTTCGGATCTTGGCGGCTTCTTGCACTTGAGCAGACGTCGGTGGAGGTTTATCCTGTCGGTAGTCGTCCTCGTTCGGGGGCTGGAGAGCCAAGAGCGCTTTTTGGAAGGAGGGCATCAACATCCGGATGCCTCGCTCGAACTGCCGCAGGGTCTCGTAAGCGCGTTGATCTGGTGGTTTATGTGCTATGGAAGCGGCGAAGTCGCGGTGAGAGAAAATGGTTGATTTGCAGTCGCGGCACATGCGAATGTCGAGGGTGGTGGTGACGATTCCGGGCGGCTTTTCGGTGTTTATCGTTGCTAAGGAAGGTCAGCAGAAGTCAACATGACAAAATGACGGGAAACATACGATGCGCAACATCCAACCCAACCTCTGTCGAACAAGCCGTCTCCGGATCGGCGCAAACCACTTTCCCACATATCCGACAATGATGTCTCCTAAACGTCCAACTCCCAAACTCCTGCTTGCAAAACGGACAATTTGTGACCGCCCCATCCTCTTCCCAGCTAACCACACTTTGCTCGATCATTTTCCTCTGGCTCTTCTGGCCCGTCAAGACCAATAATCCTGACCCCTCCTCCGGCGGCATCTCAGCCAACAACCTCGTCAGCTTCGTTAACCTCTTTTCTAGCCTCTGCACCTCCAGTTTATGTCTGTCCACCCTCTTTGCTCGTATTGCCTTGAACTCGGCCATGTGATCCCTCACCGTTCCCTGGTGATCATTATACCCTTCCCGACTCTTGAAGCAAGTCTCGCACACTCGACACCAGATCCCTCGCACCGGTTCGTGGTTGGCCGATCGCGACAGCTTCATCTGGTACATGGTGTGTTCCTCGCAAAACAGGCGACCGCATTTCCGGCAGTTGACCAGCCCACTAAACGGCCCTAATTTCCTTGTACATGTCGGATCGGTACAGGGGTCGTTCCCCGTTGGTCTCTGCCAGTGGTGTCGGGTGACTAGTTCCTCTGGGTCTACAGCCTTTTCTGCGGGTCGTCCGGGTGCGGTGGCGATGGCGCTGGTCGCGAGAACAGGTTGCGTCTCGTTGGATTCGAAAACATCAAGTCCGCGCAGGGTCTGGTTGATGATGTTCAACGGCTGAAACTTTTTGGCTTTGCGGACCTGTTTGTCGAACCAGCTCTTGACTTCATCTTGTGTCTCTTCGGGCAACTCTTGATGGACGTCGTCGATGTGTCTATTCAATTGAAGCAGGGTGACCATTTCCTCTTGGCATATCGGGCAAACGAGTCGGTTGTCGTTGGCGCCGACGGATTGGCCGCCGCCATTGGAAGGACCGGGCAAGCTGACATTGGACACAAGGTCTTGCGGAATGTAAGGTAGCGGGGCGGAGGATGACGGGGAGATGGACTCGCGCGTGGAATTGGGCGAAATGAAGGAGACGGTGCTGCTGTCGGAGGGCGCATAGGGGCTGGCGGCGCGATGGATGGCGGCGATGGTTGAGGGTGACGGCGATGACGACGACGCTGCTGCTGCTGCTGCTGTGGGCGGGGCGAGGCCCTTGCCGTTGCCCAAGATGCGCCCACCTCCGAGCTTGCGCCCGGACATGTCGTCGTCGTCGGTGTTTTGATGATAATCTGGACGAGATGATCGATGGGAGCCCAGTCAGTCGTGGGTAGGGCAAGGAGGAGGTGGGTTATGTTGGCGTCGTCGTCGTCGACAAGGTGGCCATTGTTTGTTGCCTGGTCCAGTCAGTGAAACGAGGGAAAGGAAGCGAAGCGAAGCGAAGTTGGTCGTCTCACTTGGTTCAGTTCCCCGTTGTTGGGTCAAGTCAGGCAACCGAAGTTGACTGGGTTGTGTGCTTCGTTATTGGCTCGGGAACGGCGGTGGAGGATCGGTAGGTAGGTTAGGTAGGCGCAGGCAGTGTCACCTCACAGCTGCGGCAGCCTAATGCGCCTGACGTTCAGTGGGATCCGCTATTTTGGGCCCTGCAAGTAAACAATTGATGCCGACCTCGACCAAGACAAGTTACTTGTTAGGCCTGTACCTTTCTTTACGGCAGAATTACTGCCAGTCATAGGTATCCCTCCATCTTCCGATCCCGTCCCCCTCTCTCCACCCTCCCGCAATCGCCCCTCTGTAACCACCGGGATCACCCTCCATTGTCCACCAATAAATATGTCATCAGCGGAAGCACGTCAGCGGCAGAATCTCCATTATCAGCCTTATCAGTCATTCACTCAATACTTCGGTCTCCCGTCCACAATGTTTTCTGACTACTTGATCCTTTTTTTTTTCTCTTTTTCTTTCGAGGATCGACCATAACGAGTTGACGACGGACAAATAGCGCTGGCGCTGCGAATACAAACAAAACAGACACAAAATGACGACCGGACGAGCAGACCCAAACAACTTTCCCGAGATTCAGACGGGCGGCAGTCTGTTGATCGCATGGCAGATCAAGGGCAAACGAGTGCTCCTAGTGGGCGGTGGTGAGGTATGTCTTTCTTTCACGTCTGCTGACCCTCCTTCCAAGGGCTGTTGCTGACTTAAACCCTCCCTCACAGGTAGCAGCAACCCGGCTCGTCCACCTCCTCTCCGCCGACGCCCTCGTAACCCTCATCGCCCCGGCCCCCCTCCACCCCGAAGTCTCCTTCCGCCTCACCCAATTCCCCAACTCCCTGACCTGGATCCCCCGTGCCTTCGAGCCAACCGACCTTACCGACCACCCCAATGACTACTCGTTGATCTTGACAGCCATCGACGACCCCGTCGCCTCTTCCCAAATCTACAAACTCGCCCACCAGCTCAAAATCCCCGCCAACATTGCCGATGTCCCTCCCGAATGCGACTTTTACTTTGGCTCTGTCCACCGCGACGGGCCCCTACAAATCATGGTGTCGACTAATGGAAAAGGCCCCAGGCTGGCGTCGACGATTCGGAAACTGATCGCCAAGGCGTTGCCCAAGAATGCGGGCCGGGCCATCGAGCAGATGGGCGAGCTGCGCAAAAAGTTGCGCGAGGTGGCTCCTGCACAGGAAGAAGGGAAGAGGAGGATGGACTGGATTAAAAAGGTTAGTGATGCGTATGGGTGGGAGGAGATGGGCACCATGACGGGAGAGGATATGGCGAATTTGTTGGCGTGGTACCGTAAAGAGGGGGGAGAAGATGGGTTGGAAGTGCCGACTTTGGACGAGTTGAGGGCTTTGCGGAAGGAGAAGAAGCAGGACGGTGCAGTGGAAGAGGTGGAGAAGAAGGTTGAGGAGTTGAAGGTGGAAGACAAGGCCTAGGGAAAATGAATCCAGGATGCCACGGGGTTCTCTTAGTTCCTGGGTAAAAGGACCTTTTGGGACAAGGACATGGATGAATGATACCATTGGATGCTCTTCAATCAAGGTGACAATCACGAAGAGGAAGATGAAACAACAATCAATGCCTTATGAATCCCACGAAAACTTAAATAATTATACCACCAGCCTGCCAGTTCTTGATGCTTGCCGAATGCGATTAACACGTTGCATGCTGGACACACTATGTTGCTGCTCGGTGGGTTAAGTGCGGCTCCGTCGTCCATGACAAAATTGATGACACCTGTAAACCAGTTCGATTCCGATTGTCATAATTCAGAAAGGTCGTCGCGAAACAGTGATAGGGATTACCATAATTCGAAAAGACATCGGCTAGAGTCCCATGGGGACATGTTTACTCAGGAAATGAGTGTGAATGAATTGCATGCGTCTTAAGAGTAAAGGTACCCAAGGTCTAATGGCAAAGGGCTCAACTATTTTGTCTGGAACGAGAGTGGGTGGAAAGTAAAAGAAGAGAAAAGAGCAAAAGAAAATGCAAACGAAGAGAAAGAAGTAAAGTCATAATGCAATCCATTGGGCCGTTGTACGCTGTTGATTGAAAGCATTCTTCGCTAAAGTTATTATACAAGATGGCTATCGTACTGTATTATCATAATCTCCGTCATTTTCATCATCGTCTTCATTTTCATCATCGTCTTCATCTTCATCATCTTCATCTTCATCAGCATCATCAATGATACTCCCTTCCAACCCTTCATGGTCTTTGGCTTGCCCAACCACCTCGCAATTCCTCGCCATTTTCAACGTGAATTTGCGCTTGTGTGTCCTCCGCACATGTTGGACCAGACGTACTCCGGTCTCCTTGTAGGGACAGTTGGGTTCTGGACACTTGTATGTCAGACCATGTGTGTGTTTATGATACCTAAGAAAGTTACGTATCTTTCCATCCCAATCGCAACCAGCGAAAAGACACTTCATTGTTTCCCCGTGATGCTCTTGCCGATGACCATAAAGCGCATCCTTGTGGGGTCCCACGTAGTCGCAACCAGCCTCGGGACACTCGAGGTACTTGTGCACCTCTTTCATGTGAAGTTGAATGTCACCCTTTGATCCTGCAAACAAGCAATTTTTGGCCCGGCATATAAATCTGGCCCTGTGACACTTCCTCAGATGTTTATAAATCGAATTCTTGTCGGGTCCCATAGACTCGCAAGCAGCCTGGGGGCACTTGATGTACTGGTGCACAACTTTCATGTGCAGGTTAAAGTCACCCCCTGATCCTGTAAACGAGCAATCTTTCACCCGGCACTTTTTGAGGTAAGTCCCTGGTTTGAAGTTAGCTCAAGTTTGGATGCCTAGCTTTGTAATGGGATTTGCGCTTACCGCGTGCCACGTCGGGCTTCCTTTGCTCTGCATCGGGCCGTTCCTGCGGAGTTGTTGCCTGGGAAGGTGAGCTGCAAGAGGACAAGGGGAAGTCCCCTTCATAGTCACCATTATCTTGGTCAGTAAAACGCCCATCGTCTATATCCCCAGCGCTGCCACCGTAGACACCACGCTCCTCGGGTTCATCAATATCTCCCTGTTCATCGTCATCCTCCTTCCTGGGATCGTCAATACCTTCCTGTTCATTGTTATCGATCTCCTCGGGATCGTCACCACTGTCCGTGTCATCGCGAAAGTCGAAACTCTGTACCATTGAACCGTCGTCACCCCCACCACCCCACAATCCTGCACCTCCCCTCAGCGCCGCCGAACTCCAGCAATCCTTCTCATCACACTTGCATTCGCTCCAGTAGCCCTGGCGCTTCTAATGCACGACGCCCTCCACGCCGCCCAGAAACCTCCTGACCCTCGCAATCTCCAATTCAGGCTTTTCACTTTCGACCGCCCTCGTCAGTGTATCCAGCAGGGCTTCAACCTCGATTTCGGGCCTCCTGGTGCAGAGGCTGACCAGTCGCCGGTACTTGAGCTCTTTCTCCTTGCTCTGTGCCTGCAAGGCCGCCACCGCCTGTCGCGTTTTGCTCGACCTCGCCCGTAGTGCCTTGATTCTAGCTCTTAGCACTGCCGCGCTCGGTAGGCTAGGTCGGCTGTCTGGGTCCAGTCCCTTGGGAGACTGCGTCTTGACAATCTCCAATGCCGACTCGAGTTCCATTTCCCAGGCGTTGGCCGAAGCGACATCCAGCCGACCGTGGCGCTGTTCGAGTTCAATGAGGATCTGCTCTTCCTCCTCACATGCCCGGTTGAAGTTGACAATCTTCTGCTTGGCCAATTGCTGGGCTTTGAGCTTTTCTTGTAGGGACTCGAGGGTGCGGCGGGCGTCGCCGACCTGTGAGGAAGTAACGCGGAGTTGAGAATGGAGGGTGTCAATCGATTCTTGTTTCTTTTTCAGCTCATTCTGGAAAATAGACGCGGATTCACCAATGAGGTGAGTGATGGCTGGCCTCACGTTAGCAATGGAGCAAGAAGGATAGAAAACAAGAAAAAAGAACTTACAGCGGACAACCTCGTCACTGGTCTCGCGGCTCTTATGGCCACTGCCCGTCGTAGCCCCAGTCTTTTCTTGGGCTGGATCATCGTTGGTTTCGGCGTCGGCAATCCCGATGCCAAAATCCAATGGCTTCAAATTGGCTCGGTTGGGAATTGTGGGATCCGCGCCCACCTCCAGAAGCTGGGAAATGATGCTGCGGTTACCGACGCGTGCAGCAACGTTAAGCGCCGTGTCACCACTATTATCCTGAGCGTTGACGATCTCGCTCATAAACCGGGCGATGCCCATTCGACGTCCTTTCCTATCGCCGGTGCCGTTCTCTTGGCTGTTTGGAGCACTACCTTGCCGGACCACCCATTCTAGAAGGCTCTCGAGGTAGTATCGGCTAGCATAATGACGGCCTTTGACCGCACTGGTGACGGCAATGTGATGCAAAACGGTGCGGCCCTTGTCGTCGGTCACGTCAAGAGTGCAACCGAGGAGATCAAGAAGCTCGGGAAACGTGTTGTTCTCCATGGAGTTGGTGACGGTGCAGGCACGCATAAGGGCAGTCTCTCCACAAGCATTGACGCGCCAGGGGTTTGCGCCTGCATGGATGAGCGCTCGCAGAAGCGGCATGCGAGAGAGGGTGGCAGCCCAATGAAGGGCCGTGTGACTCTGGGTGTCGATGGGGGAGTCCAGCTCCTGAGGAGACACATTGCAAAGGGCGGCCTGTATGGCCTCCTCGGGGCCGTTGGCATCCATAAAGAGGCCCATCAGCATACCCCGCTTGGCTTCCGCGTCGGTATTATTCTCATAGGGCAACGGCCGCAACGGGCCAAGGGCATACGAGGCCTCGCCATCATTAGCACTGACTTGCTCATAGTTGAATGAGTTGCTGGGCTCCGTGGGAGAGCCAGGGTCTCCGTTGGCAACATTTCCAGCATTGAATGGGTCGAGAGGCTGGTGGCCCGGAGTCTGGCCGCCAAAGCTCCTGGCGGGGGTGAGAACTCTTTGCCGCTTCCTAGGGGGTTGTTCGAGGCCGTCACCAGCCAAGGGTTGCGTAGTTTGAGACCCGAAGCCCGAGTCGGCGTTCTGTGTCTGGGTTGCGTATTCGGTCGAAACAAGGCTTTGTTGCGAGTTTGGGAAATCGGCCACATCCTGCATCGAGGACTGGCGGTTGAAGCTGGGGGCCCTGCTGGGACCGCTGCGGTTTCTAGGCGCAGGGGAATCGAAGCGAGCCTTGCTGATGGCAGCCACTGCGGTTGAGGCCGTCGAGGAGATGTTCTTGAAGAAGGTGCCGGTGGAGCCAATACCGCGATTCTCTTGCGAGCTGGCGTTGTACATGCGCTTCCTCTGTGCAGCCATGGCCTGCTCCTTGGTGGGGGTGTCCACGTTTCCAGTCTCGCCTTCCTGTCCCCTGTTGTGTGTCAAGAGTTTGGACAGCAGCTCCTCGACGCCATATTGGCGGCAGACTTCGAGACCCCGTTCGAATGGAATCCAAGTTCCTTGATATTTCCCGTAGCCGCCCTGGACTTTTTCGTGTTCGCCAATCTGGATTTCCTTTTCGAGAATCTTGGTACGGCGTCCCTTATCGATGTTTGCGACCTTGAGGATCTGTGTGGCATTGACCCAGCCGTCCTTTTGTCGGCGCATGACGGCAACATTGTTGACCTCCATTTCGTAGACGCCGACGCCCGAGTACGTGGCCTGTAGCTGTCAGTCGGAGCACAGTGGAGAGAGTGTGGAAGACGGGGGATGAGGATAGGAGGCTCACAGAGTAGATGGTAGGTACGGCATGGTCGTTGTGTAGCCGGTTGGGGGGATCCGTGTACTGTCTGTAGACTGACTGGGAGGACTGGCTCATGGAGAAGGATTGTTGGGAAGACGGCTGCGACTGCTGCGAGGCGCCGCCCAGTTGTGGTGGCTGCATTTTGAATGTCGTCGCGGGCAATACAGGGTAGTGATAGTAAAGACTGCTGTGTGTATGACTGATAACTGAACGAGTGGTGTTTGATAAAGCTGTGGCCGGAAGTGATACAAGTTGCGTCCTTCAAGATTGGGGAAATCACAACGTCTTTATGGAGGGGACTGGAGAGGCGGGCCAAACGAAGTGAGGGAAGGAAACGGGCAGCGAGCAGAAGGGAGTTGGAGACGTTGTGACTGGCGACAGATGGTGATTGCCGTCCCTTGCCGTGGTTCGGGTGAAATCGATATGAGACCGCAATTGATGCTATGGCAGAATCCCTCTTGCTTAAACAGACGGACGTTTGCAGCTGCCGGTGAGATTGGTGAAGGGAAGAGTCGGCGGCGAAGGCGCAACGAATCGGGGAATATAGTGGACAGTTCGGCAGGATTGGAAACTGGGGATAGTAGTAGTAATACTAGTAGAATTACTCTCCAAAACACCACGGCGCAAAGACGTACGCGCGATGGTCACAATGACGTTGCTTTGCTCGCAAAAAGTCAATTAAAGGTCGACGTGTTGGTTTCGTGTTTGTTGCGCGAAAAGTCGTGTTTGCGTGTGAAAGATTGCCCTGTGCGGTCAGCGATACACGAAAAAGACAGGCGCCAGGTCACGGGGTGGTTATTTGTAACGAATTGATACAAGCTGTGTAACGAACGAGTAACCAACTGGTGTCTTTGATACATCAGCAACGGACGGACCCCAGAAAGATTGAAGGCTGACTCAAGAGATAGAGTATTCAAACTGTCTCGGAGGATTAGTTCCGCCTTGTCATTCGGTTTCTTCCTTTTATGTTTACAATCGTTGCTGACCCAGAGGTTGTCACATTACATGGATCTCACTAAAGCAGGAGCGTTTAGTAGTAAGTACTTCAAGTTACGTGGATATGTGTAACATACACTGTAAATTTGTCAATTACCATACACCCTCTAGAACATCCCCCAATTGCCAGTGCCACTTCGACTTTGATGACAATGACAACTTCCCAAACAACTCACAACTCCCATTCCTCCGGCTGGTACATCCTGCCGAAAACTTGACCTTCCGCTCTCGATATCCCACTCTCCAGTCCGAAACCACAACCCACAGCTTCAGTTCTTTCACGCGCGCGCGGCCATGTCCCGCCCACCACCCCTCCCCCACCCAACAACGACCCTCCACCTCTACCGACACCTCCTCCGCGAATCCTCATACCTCCCCGTTCTCATCCGTCCCTTCTTTGACGAGCGCATCACCACGCGCTTCCGGGCCCACCGCGCCTCCGACCCGTCCTCCTGTCCCCAAACCGCCACCCGTCTCAAGCGCGCCCACCACGATTTGCGCTACCTGCGCGCCGCCAACGCCGGTGACCTTCCGCGCATGCGGCGCATTTTGCTGCTCGCATTCGGTCGAACGGGCGCCAAACGCCGCCAGCTTCTTACAGAACTATTAGAGCCCGACACCCCGAGCAGCGACGAGGAACTACAAAAATACATCAACAAGGCGCGGGCCATCGTGAAAGAGGGCAGGAAACCGGACTGGTTGGATAATTGGGACACGGAGAAACTCAAGGCGTTTGTACGGAGTCAGACGGGGGGCGATGCGCCGCCGATTGTCAACCGCCCCAAGCCGGAAATTACAAATCACCAGTTGGCGCCGGAACGATATGTGCCCAAGGAAAATATCTGGGGCGGGCCACTGAATGAAAAGGTGAAGAGGACCAAGTTGAAGAAGACGTATAAGCAGGTGGCGGAGAAGGTGCTTCCGCCGGTACCAAGGGAGGAGTGGGAACTGCTGAGGGATCTGGTAAATAAGAAGGAGGAGTGGGAGGTGCCCAAGAGGAGGACGGTTGGGAGGTTGATTTGGGCGAAGAGCGACGACAAGTCAAAAGAAGGGGCGGCCCTGGATTGGAATTGGCAGAGATATGCGACGCAACCAATTTGGTTGGTGGATCGGCAGAAGAGTAGGAGAAATATGCTGCTAAGTGGGCAGGTCGATGAGGATTTGCCGATGGGGGAGCAGCAGCCCATCAATTGCCATCGGTATACGCCGAGGTTATGGAGGAGGACGCTAGAGCAGGTCTGGCGGATGACAGCGGTCATGGAAAGGAAAAAGGATGGAAAAGGATGGGAGATAGAATGGGGACAGAAGAAGTATGAACCGCCGGTGGCACCATCGGCGGATCTCGAGTTCTTCGAGGGCGCACCAGTAAGAGCGGAGCCCAAGAAGAAGAAGGGCAAGCAGTGATCGCAGTCTGCGGTCCGTTATTGGGGATGGGATATGACGGCATGGATGGATAGAAAGGGACTTTGCTCAACTTGTAGAAAATGATACCCGAGCACATTTCATGGTCAAAAGCACCACAACACAAACTTCCTTTGTTTAGGTGTCAACCTGCCCTTTCCAACCATGGGTATATTTTTCCAGACCTCAACCAACCATCTAGTCCAACAACTTGGCCAACTTGGGCAGTCCCTCTCCATCGACTCTCATACCCACCCACTCACTCATCATCTGCGCCCCAATCGCCTCGCTCTCATAAAACTTGATACTCGGCTCATTCCACTTGAGCACGTTCCACTCAAGCCTGCCTCCCTTCATGGCCTCCACCTCCTTCGCCAATTCCACCAACAACCGCTTGCCATACCCCTTCTTCCGCTCGCTCTGCTTGACATACAGATCCTCGAGGAAGATACCAGGGCGCGCCCGCCACGTCGAGTAGTTGTAAAAGTAAAGCGCCATGCCGACGACGACTCCCGAGTCAGGGTCAGTCAGCACCAGGCAGCGGGCGGGCTTGGAGGGCGAGACGGGTTCGGTGATGGGCAGGCCAGTCTCAGGGTTGGGGGAGACGACGGAGGGATCGGAAGGGGCGAAGGCGATGGTTGCCGCTAGGGTTGCTTCGGTGGCTTCGACGCTGTCGAGGGCGTGTTCGTAGTCGGCTAGTTCGCGGATGAGGCCGAGGATGGCGGGGACGTCTAGATGTTGTTAGTTTGTGTGGTACAAAACGGGAGAAGAGGACGGAGACGAACCCTCGCGCCTGGCGTGGCGGACAACAGGAGCAGTGGAAGCCATTGTGAAGTTGTCTTGGTGTCTTGGTTGGGTTTCACACGAGGTGGAAGTGGCAATTCGGATCCGGAAGACGGGGACGGGATTGGGCCGTATAAATGTCTACTTGTAGGAACCCGATGGAAGCCGGGGCCGTGATGACTCGAAAAAATAAGTGGACCTCCCGCCTCCGGACTGTCAGCCGAGGCGGGGCAGTGACACACCCCCGAACTCCACTCCGCGCCCTTCCGGTGACCAGCGCCTGGAGGAGGACGGGATTGGCGCCGATGCCGTGACAACCTACAAACGACGGGCGGAGACCTCCGATTGGGGTTTTGGCGGGGGGCTTGGAGAAATGGCGGGGTTTTCCCTTTGTCAGTTGTTGTCCTGTCCGTGGGTGTCTGTGCGCCACTGCCGCCCCTGGAGGATCTAGAGCTGAGAACCCTGGAAGGGGATCAGGCAAGCCCCTGGGCTTTGAAGAACCCCCATGACCAACCGCCTGTAGATCCTTTCACTTGTGTTTACATTCCCCTGATGACCTCGTGATCGATGGGTGATGTTCGTCAACTCCCGTTTGACTGTTACTGGTTCACAGATTGAGGAGTTGATGCTTTATAGCTTCAGGCTGTGTGATCCCGTGATTAATGATAGTCATCAGTGAGGTATGAGATGGAAGAGAGCAACGATGGGATGTGCTCTTTATCCGGGGATCATGTTATCTCCCATGACAACCAACCAACCCATCTCCACACTTACCTACCTAGCTTCCCTAGCTCCCAGCTCACCAGTAATCAGCCCACGGTATCGGATCTCCCGCTCGTCTACACTACATGACCCCCTATTCCCCTATCAACATCAACACGTTGTGTGTTTCAGCTGAGACTCGTATCGGGAATGGAAATGCAGATAAACTCCGAAAGATTCCGTCCAATCGATACCATCCACGCCTCCATGCACCCTGAACATACCTACCTAAGTACCTACCTACATACGATAACACAGCCCACCTTGGGCGGCAGCGTGTTTAAATCTGAAGTCATCAATTGTGACCGTACACCAAGATGGTGAGCTTGGAGAGCTTGGTTGAATGGTTGGTCTGTGAGGTAAACATTCAGGGACCTTCCCTCCATGGGGACGTCAAAGAGACGGCTATGTTGGCGGCCCATTGGCAAACAATGACTCCCAACGTGTTTCAGTCACTGGTCGCGGGAAAACAAAAGGAGGCGGAGTTCTTGGTCCGTGTCTTGGTATTTGGACCTTGGAGCTTGTCCGCCATTTGGAGATAGGTAAAGAAGTTGGAGACGAAAAGAGGACAGGGCCAACCGGAAGCAAGTGGTTCGTTTATTCGTTCACCGCACTGCCCACACCCACCGCTTTGTACTATCTATGCCAGGTATACCTACATACATGACAACCGAAGTAGATCTGGCGGCATACGTAGGTAGGTAGGTAGTGGTAGTATGACAGGTATATATGAAGGGGACTATTCCCCGCCAAAGTGACTTGATGAGATCCCCTGATTTTTTTTCTTGTTCCTGGATTGCTGCCACACTAGCGAGACTTTTTGTTGATCAACAACCGCCACTACATCATCATCATCATCTACACGTGTAGTACCCCATCATATGACAACAACAAAGAACATCACCACCACTACCACCACCTTCAACAAACCTCCCACCTTACACCATCTTCCACTTCTCTTCAGTCACATTATCATAAATATTCCCACGCAAACACAATGGGATCTCACGCACCTGTACCGCCCTCGGCCGAACCAACAGTAACCTACTCGTCCGGCCGCCTCAACTCCTCGGCAGAATCACCAGTGGGGCCACCACCCGAACCCGACTTCCGCCTGCTCCACTTCAATGACGTCTACCACCTCGACGCATCCTCAGCCGAACCCGTCGGCGGCATTTCACGCTTCATGACCGCCGTCAACGAGTATCGCAACGATGAGCGGTACCAAGGGCAAGGGAAGCCGGAGCTGGTCACGCTGTTCTCGGGCGATGTGTTCAATCCGAGTCTGGAGAGTTCGGTGACCAAGGGCAGCCACATGGTTCCGATTCTGAACAAGATTGGGACTCAGTGCGCCTGTGTTGGTGTATGTCTTTTTTTCTTTCCCTTTTCTTCCTTCCAAGCCCCGTTTTTACTGACAATTGGGAAAAAAAAAAAAAAAACAGAACCACGATCTCGACTTTGGCGTCCTGCAATTCCAACACCTGACCTCCAAATGCGCCTTCCCCTGGCTTCTCGCCAACGTCCTCGACCCCGCGCTCGGCGAAAATGTGCCCATCGGCAACGCCGGCCGCACCCACATGATCACGACCGCCAACGGGCTTAAGATCGGCCTGCTAGGCTTGGGCGAGCGCGAATGGCTCGAAACCATCAATGCCTTGCCTCCCAACCTCATCTACCGCTCCGCGACCGAAGTAGCAAAGGAGCTGGTGCCCGAACTGCGAGCGCAAGGAGCCGATCTCATTGTCGCCCTAACACATATGCGCGAACCAAACGATCACAAGCTGGCGAGGCAGATGGACGGGGAGATTGACATCATTCTGGGCGGACACGATCACTTTTATGCGCACAGCCTGATCAACGGGACCCATGTGCTGCGGTCGGGGTCCGATTTCAAGAATCTGTCGTACTTGGAGGTGCGCCGACCTGCTTCACCACCCACGCAACCGGGGCAGCCAAAGTGGGATGTGGATATTTGGAGGCGGGACATCTACAGCAGCATTCCCCGCGATCCGCCGACAGACCAGTTGGTGGATAAACTTACTTCGAAGCTCAAGAAGTCGCTCGAGAAACCGATCGGCTTCAGCGCTGCTCCCCTCGACGCGCGCTTCACGACGGTGCGCCTGCGCGAAAGCAACATTGGAAACTTTGTCTGCGACATTATGCGCCTGCACTACCACGCCGACATCGCCATCATGGCCGCCGGCACGATCCGCGGCGATCAGATCTACCCGCCCGGTCCGATCCGCGTCAAGGATGTGACCGACTGCTTCCCCTTTGAGGATCCCGTGGTAGTCATCAAAGTTAAGGGACAAGCAGTCTGGGACGCGCTCGAAAACGGCGTTTCTCTCTTCCCGGCCCTCGAAGGCCGGTTTCCCCAGGTATCCAACATCAAATTCGTTTTCGACCCTTCCCTACCATCAGGAAAGCGAGTCACCAGCGTGGAAGTCGGCGGCGAACCGATCGACTTGGAAAAGACCTACACAATGTCAACGAGGGGGTACATGGCCCGCGGCAAAGACGGGTACACCTCTCTCCTCGTCCAGCCCGAAGGCGGCGAGTGCGAGGAGGTCGTCTCGGAAGAGAACGGCATTCTCATCTCCATGATGTTACGACAGTACTTTATGGCACTCAAAGCCCTCGACAAATGGGCCTTTTGGGGCGCTGAAGAAGATCGACACTGGGGCAAGGTAGTCAAGGGCGTCGATGAATATAGGGAACCTTCCAAATCCCTGACTTCTACCCTGGAACCCAAGACGGGAGAGGGTTGCGATAAGGAGACATGTGTCATTGACGCCGAAGCAAAGAAAGACGAACAAGAAGAACCCACACCCGCTGGTCAAGATGGCGCTGGCTCCTCCACTCCCCTCTCGAACTGGAAGTTCTGGACACCCGCTAAGCTTAGAGAGCGAAGGTCGACGGTGAAACCACTAAAGGAGTCACAGACGTCCGTGGGGGATACCAGCGCTTCAGATAGCGAAAGTAGTTCAGGGAGCAGACCCAGCTCGAGAGTGAGCGGCAGAGACGCGGATGTGAAGCTGATTGATCGCGAGATGAGGATCATGAGACGGGTGGCGAGGAAGTGGTGTCGGTTGGCGGGGGTGCAGAGCAAGGCGTGCGATTGTTTGGATGAGGGCGAGTTTGACGTGCCGTGGACGAAGGCGGTGGCGCCGAGGGTGGAGGGGAGGATTGTGGAGGTTGGGGCTTGATTTTTTTCCTGGATTGAATGTGGTTGGTGTTGAGAAGGCGAGAAGGAGAGGGATGGAGCATGACTGTGGTGAGGATGGAGGGAGAGAGAGAGAGGTGATGCTATACCCAATGCTGCGAGTCTTGCTTTTTTGCCCCCCTCCTTTCGGGGATTTTGGAGAATACCCGTAACGGAATAATAACACCGTTGAGCCCAACGATGAATGACCTGACCCGGCCAACTTGAAGCATACTTCGGTGGCATTTTGACAGACCAGACAGTGATAGTGACAGCTCGGTTTCATTATTATACCTCCCGTCCTTTGAAGGAAGTGGAAGCCAAGAAGCTTTACCACCATCTCCGGACGTTATCATCGGAAGACGTTATCAAAACCCCAAATCTTGCCCTACAGTTTCCTCTTACGGAAGTACACAGACCTCTTTCTTGTCAAGCCGAGTCCATCGGCTAAACAAGCTTTGTAACCCAAAATGTAGCATTACACCCAAACAGCCCCCTTTTGGACAGGCTGAGTTGCACAAAGGGGTTTGTTATCAGGAATTGTGCTACCCTCGCTCTTTCTTTTACGTCTCATCACATCCGGATTATCTTTCCAAGTCCTTTACCCACTCTTCAAACGCTGTCGGTGATTGTTGGGGCTTGACTGCCTAGGTAGGGTAACTCTGGATGTCATGGTGTTGAGAAGGAGGTGAGGAAGTCGCGGTCCACTGCCACCATTAATCTTTCTGGGTGTTTATGCCAGTCTAGAGATAGTTCTACATCCTCTTTGCACACTCTATACATACACACCCTCCACACACCCCGCCTCTTCATACTACCTTTTTTTTCTTTTTCTTTTTTTTTTTCCCCGTCATCACACTCCTACCCTCCATCTCGTCAAAGGTTGTCATCACGTAAGCGACCGTTCCCCCATCCATCCAACAGCCATCCAGCCAGCCAACCATCCAACCAGCACCTGTCCTGATGACAAACAATCACGAACAACCTGCCAAGTTCAGCATGAAGCCGCAGAATTCTTTTTCGGTTCGGTTTCGTCTTCCACCAGGGGCAGCTCCCCTCCCCTCCCCTCCTTCCCCAACATCCATTCCCTCCGTCTTCCACTCCATCCACGTCCTTCTTCCATGCAGGTACACTACATACACATGTAGTAATCACAGGAACGGGATTGGATCCGAAGGAGGAGGCGCGCGGGGGGGCCTGCACCTGTAGAAGTAGAGGTATGTACCTGCAGATACTTTCCTGCAGGACATGATAAAATTCATTCCCTTCATTCAGCACCCTGCCATTTACTACCTAAGTTACCTCGCTCCATCTCGATCTCGACCACCGACCCACACAGGTTCATGGAAGTTGCCTTATGCATTCTGTACCCGCACACGTTTCACACCCGAGACAAGTG